GTACATAAGAATCAACAGAAGACCATCCACTATATGGGAAACCTAATAAAAAACATATTTGTTATAAGAACATAAGAATGGAGGAACACTGCAGAAGGCCTACTGGCCCATGCGAGGCAGGTCCTTATCAAAACGACTACTACCTAAAGCTTCCCTGGAAATAACTCCCGTACCCAATGACACCAATCAAACCCTGCCCCTACCACTCATATATTTGTCCAGTTTCTTCTTGAAGCTACCCAAGGTCCTAGCATCTATCACCCCACTGGGAAGACTGTTACACGCATCTACAACTCTGTTAGAAAACCAGACTTCCTATGTCCTTTCTAAATCTAAATTTATCCAACTTAAATCCATTATTTCTGGTTCTTACCTGGTTCGACACCCTCAATACCTTATTAATATCTCCTTTGTTTATGCCAGTCATCCACTTCTACACCTCAATGATATCTCCTCTCATTCTACGTCTCTCCAGAGAGTGAAGATTCAAGGCTTTAAGTCTATCTTCATATGGGAGATTCCTTACACAGTAAATCATTTTAGTCATTCTTCTCTGTATGTTCTCCAATGGGTCTATATCTATCCTGTAGTAAGGAGACCAAAACTGAGCAGCATAATCTAAATGAGGCCTCACCAGTGATGTATAGAGCTGTAAAATAACTTTTGGGCTTCTGTTACTTATACTTCTTGATATAAATCCAAGTAATGTTTGCTTTGTTGCACACACTTAGGCACTGCTGCCTTGGCTTTAGGTTTCTGCTTACCATGACTCCCAAGTCCTTTTCACACACTGTAAGATGAAGCTCTACTTCACCTAGTTTATAGCTTCTGCCATTTTTCAGACCAAGACATTAATTTGTCTAAATCCTCCTACAGTTCATTGCTATCCTCTTCAGAATGAATCATACGGCCTATCTTTGTATCATCAGCAAACTTGCTCATGTCACTCATAATCCATTCATCAAGGTCATTAATGTAAATTATGAACAAGAGAGGGCCCATACAAATCAAGACACACACACATACACACATCTTGCATGCTCCTATAGGTTTTTTACAATGTTTTCTTTCATTGAAGTGAATACCACTAACATATGCTATATATAGCACCAACAAATACTACAAGTCTCACTAATAATTAAATCATTAAAAAACAAGATAGGAGCCCTAAATAACTTGCCACTAATCATGTATTTAAAGCAGCTCATGTGTTGTCCCCCATTACCGCAACACTATTTAACAAATCTGTTTGAATCTTCAACATTCCCATCCATACTCAAGACAGCAAGGGAGACCCCAATCCTCAAAGGAGGCGATCCTACAGAACTAAATAACTACAGATGAATTTTTAACTTGCCTTTACTCTCTAAAATTCTTCAAAAAAATAATACACAATCTACTCCTACCTCCTATCCCATAACATAACGAACCCCTGTCAGTTTGGGTTTATGCCGAAAAAAAGCATGAACATGCTCAAATTACTATACTATACAGCAATTGTAAAAAATGAATATCCTCTGGGGCTCTTCCATAATATCTACACAGAAAGCATTTGATACAGTAGACCACAACATCTTGCACCTAAAACTAGAGCATTATGGGATCAGAGGACACTCTCTCAATTGCCTAAAATCTTACCTTAGCGGTAGACACCAGCATGTATCCACAAATGGCGTGACCTCCAATACTCAGCCTGTAGTTGTTGGAGTGCCACAGGGAAGTGTCCTAGGTCCTTTACTCCTTCTTATTTACATCAGTGACCTCCCAAATGCATCACGACTCCTTAAACCAGTTCTATTCGCAGATGACACCACTTACGTCTTCTCCCACCCAAACCCGGCTATACTTAGTTACACTGTAAACAGCGAGCTACATAAAATATCAAACTGGATGACGACCAACAAACTTACTGTCAATACAGACAAAACCTACATGCTTTTTGGAAACAGAGCATTAAATACCCAGTTAAACATATCGATAACTGGTTCACCCATTACAAGACACACTGAGGGCAAATTTCTAGGTCTCCACCTTGACTGCAATCTTAAATTTCAGACCCACATCCAACATATAACTACGAAAGTTTCCAAAATAGTGGGTATCCTTTCCAAGATGCAGTACTATGTACCCAAAAGGGCACTCCCTACTTTATATCACTCTCTAATATACCCTTACCTCACCTATGGTATTTGTGCTTGGGGATTTACCATGGCCAATCACCTTAAACCTATAATAACCGAACAAAAAGCGCCACTGCGGATGATCACAAACTCCAGTGCCAGACAACACATCCCACCACTCTTCAAACGCTTCAACTTACTTATTACTGTGCTTACTATATATACAGAACATTAAACTCCATGGGGAAGTGGAACAGAATTCTTCCTCCGTAAGCCATGCGTGTTGTAAGAGGCGACTAAGATGCCGGGAGCAAGGGGCTAGTAACCCCTTCTCCCGTATAAATTACTAAATTTAAAAGAGAAACTTTCGTTTTTCTTTTTGGGCCACCCTGCCTTGGTGGGATATGGCTGGTGTGTTGAAAGAAAGAATTAAACTCCAATATCAACCCTCCACTCAAACTTCTCCCAGATAACTACAACAGAACACACAGGCATAACACGAGGCACAAACACTTTTTGATATCCCACTTGCCCTTCTCACACTATGCAAAAATGCAATGCACATAAAGGGCCCTAAGATCTAGAACCATTTGCCTGAAACAGCAAAAGGTCCCCTGCCCACAAATCAATTTAGGACTATACTCAAAAATCATCTTATCTCACAATAACTGTACCCACACTATGCTAAACTCTAACCAAATTTAAAGCAACTCTCCCAAATATTTTATTACCCTTTAACTATTAAGCCATTATTACAAACTTAAAAATGTATGTTTGTATCATAAATTGTTCTACCTCATATTAATAATAGAGTAAAATATTGATTATTTGTATTCTATAACTCTTCACTTGTCTAGACCTAAGTATTAGGTTAAGTCTGCTTGACATGCCTTGGCATGATAGTGGCTTTCTTTGTACCAATCAAATTATGAAATATAAACACACATTGTAACCTTAGCAAAGAAATAAAATTTTAGTTTATTTGTATTTTTTAACATTAACTGTAACTTGATCAAATAACCAACACATAATCCAAGCTTCTTTAGAAAGATTATATTCATTGCTATTGTGTTAAACCTTAAGGGTCAAACAGCACCTAAGGCAATCAAGTTCGATCCAACAAGGGGAGGTCAGGGCCAATTCTTTAGATCATGGGACCCTCACCGGTATCAAGGAACCTCATCTAAGGAGTCTTGAGGCAAATAAAACTTGATCTTATAGGTAAAATCCTGAGACATAGCACTAATTAACTCTTTACACAAGGCAAGTTAATCAGGGTGTCTACATGCCAATTGCATAACCAACTAAAAAAGAACAAGCATGTGGGGCAGTTTTGGGGCCCACATGCCATCCCTGTACTCTACTGATCACTATTCTACCTTGATTTACTTCGCACAGACGATTTCCTCTTTTTAAATTCATAGAATGAAAGAAAATGTCATTATTGCAAGCATCGCTGCAGAATATATTGTACACTTTCTTAAAGAATCTTTAAGTGAATGGAGACATTGCATAAATACTGCAATAAATGCACAAGTAAAGAAGACCACACCAAATCAGTGGTGAGCATTATGGGAACTTTGTCATACACTCAGTCTGGGAAAGTGTGCATTGCATCTGCATAAAGAAAAAGTTAAATTATTCAAAATAGACAGTACAATCAAACTGAACAAATACTCATTGTATTAAAGAATAATGAACACAAATTAATAAAATATATGAAACACAAATATAAGACAAAACAACAAGGCTATAACATGTTGTACATGATTGTAGTTGACAAAAGTCACACATGAAGAACTCGGTGGTAATAAAGTGACAGAGTCAGCACCAAAAGCATAAGCAGAACTGAGAGCATACAGAGGATAAAAGAAATAACTGAATACTGCAGCAATCACAGATGCAAAAAAAAAGGGGAAGGGGGGTGGAGGATTAACAATAGGAAATACAAAAGGAATTTAATGGGGGATGGATTGATAGGAGAGCGAAGGGGGGGATCTTCACCACATAAACTTTGAAGGTAAAATTTTACCCTTATTTAATAAAGTAAATACAAGTACAACCATAGCAAGAACCAGACAACTTGTTAGTCCACTACACTGAAGGAACTCCCATTGATACTTACCGTGACTCTCACCTTAACAAAAATATTTTATTGTCTAAGTCCAACGTAACTACAACATATGAACACAAGTACACAGCAAAGACATTATTATTACTTCATCACTGTCATATGCAATAGTGCCCAGCTTCAGGAATATACAAGCATTTAACTTAAATGTTCAAATGTTATTAAACAACTGATTTGTGTTTGTCATTTATAACTACAACACTACTAAAACTATTAACAGTGTCCAATAATAATGTTTTGATAACATTACCCGTAAATATTCTGAACTAATATCCACCAAAATTCTACACAATTAATTGGCAGAAAGGAGTTAAAATCTTGCAAGAAAAATGCAAGCTTCCAAGAATAATCTAAGTTTTGCAATAATCAAAAGAAGGCATAAAGTGATGGAGGGAAAAAAATAGGCTCTCTATTACACTCAATAATTAATACTATATCCCAAAGTTATCTAGTGAAAAGCTCCACGCACCTCTTGCCTTCTACAGGTATAGAGCTTCAACCAAGGCTTTTCGAGGCATTTTCTAAATCATGCTCCTTAATTGTCAGGAAATAATGTAAAACTGACTGCATTATTGGGAAAGCACATTTTAGTAGAGAAAACATTGACTTTCATATTCTACTATGCATGACCATGGTTAAAACACACTGTTATGATTATATTTCCTCAAAAAGCCATTAAACTCCAGCTTATATGCCATGACAAGAACACCAATGTGCACATACACACACACCCGCCATGCACGACTCACGTTCGTGTGGCTGAGGTGTGGAGGGAGAGGTGGGGGACGTCCACCCCCACGTTCCACCCTCAATGGGCCCTGAAACACACCCCTCAACACTTAACTATTTGACATACCAAGTATCACTTATTGATACTGTAATATCCATTGGTGATTAACAGTTACATTGAAATATTCACTCATAATTGCAATGAAAATCCAATGATGAAATATCCACAATGATTACAGAGCAAATAATACATAGAAACCAGTAATGTGTAAAGCTAAAATTATTTATGTCAAGAGTGTTTTACAACACCAAAAATTAATAATTCAACTAGATATAATGAGTCACATTAAGAAATCCCAGTGTAACTCACAATAGAAAAAACTGTGAAAAAATACATTGGGGTCTTCCTGCCTGTCATATTTCAGCTTAATCAAACTCTCTAACTGTTTACTTGAAACTACTCAAAAAAATTTTTTTTTTATAAAAAGTGCATTTTTACTCTGTACATAACACACACTTCTCTTCCTCTTCTCCAACCAATGCAGCAGCCCACCCAGATCACTGGATATTTCTATATTTAACCCTGGTTGTGTGTTTTTTTTTTTTTAATTCTGTGTTTCCTGCAAATTTGGCTGTTTTCGATGATGGTCCTATTTCAAGATCATTTATGAATTTTATAAAAAGCACTAGGCCAAGGACTCATCCCTGAGGAACTCCACTTACTATGGCCAGCTACTTCTCTGCTCACTACTATTCCACTCATTTTTTTTTCCTATTATGAGCCAATCATGATTGCAGGTCTGAGGTCTTTCCTCCATTTTTGGAAAGCCAGTGTTACATTGTTGAAAGCTGTCAAAAACCCTTTGTATATTACTTCAGTAGGGACATTGTCACCCCAGTTTTACATACAGTACAAATGAAGAAATCTCTTATGCTTATTTAGCAAGACTCTTTTCAGATATTTCATAAATATTGCATTACAAAAACCAAGAATGAGCAGTGAGTGAATGTGCATACTTTCAGTTTCTTTTTCTTAACTTGTAGATTTTGTACTGGTAGAAGATAATCTAACTGTGTCATTACTAGGAAAGAGAGACAGTTTATGATAGTGATCCAGTCTTTACCAAGACACACTTGCAACACTTGACTATCTTTACTGCCAAAATATTTGTCTGCACAACAGGCTTTTTCAGTTTTATAAAATCTAATATAACACTGGAGAAAAGAGAACCTTTGAGATGTTTAGTTACTCAAGCCTGAAGTAGATAAATGTGACCAGACCTCACATACTAAGGTAAAAGTGAGGTGTAGCAGCTACAGGTGATGTCAAAGATGATCATGGCCCACTAGCAGTACTAGGTCATGCTAAACAGTTGTCCAGCTAAGAAGTTGCAAGACTTTCCCTGTATCAAAATACCATGATTTTTCAGCAATAAAGATACTCAAACAGCAACCGCCCAGGGAGGTACTACCGTCCTGCCAAGTGAGTGTAAAACGAAAGCGTGTAATTGTTTTCCATGATGGCAGGATTGCTGGTGTCCATTTTTCTGTCTCATAAACATGCAAGGTTTCTGGCATGTCTTGCTACTTCTACTTACACTTTGGTCACACTACACATACCCTCTGGGTTTTCTTCTATTTTATTTCTAGTTCTTGTTCTTGTTTATTTCCTCTTATCTCCATGGGGAAGTGAAACAGAATTCTTCCTCTGTAAGCCATGCGTGTCGTAAGAGGCGACTAAAATGCCAGGAGCAAGGGGCTAGTAACCCCTTCTCCTGTATAAATTACTAAATTTAAAGAGAAACTTTCGTTTTTCTTTTTGGGCCACCCTGCCTTGGTGGGATACGGCCAGTGTGTTGAAAGAAGAAAGATACTCAAGTGTTACAGGTCTTATTTATGAATTTGTCTAAATTGTATGCCATCAAAAATATGATACCTGTCTCATTATGGTGTCTTACTACAAGCAAGTCTTTTGCACCTTCTTTGTTAAACAACTGTTTAGCATGACCTGGTTCAATTACTGAGCCATGCTCACTTGCGATGTCATCTCCAGATGCTACACCTCGCTCTGCTCCTGAACAATCTGGTAACATGCCTCTGCTGTAAGAGTGAGGGACTGATCACCTCAAAATGAATACTTCTACTATCTCTATAGTATTATAATAGTCTTATTCAACTAAGAAGGCACTTGCAGAGCAAAAACATTTCAGCAACAAAGATGGCCAAAAGTTGCACGTGTCTTATTTATCAACCTGTTGACATGAAATATGATCAATAGTACGATCTTATGGTGTTGTTTGGTTTGCTATAACTGAACACCTATTTTTGTTTTTTTTTGATCTTCAGTATATATATTTTTTACATTGCATATGAAATTTTCTCTAATTTTGTAAAGGTTATATTTCCTTTTTTGTTTTTTCTTCCCTGTAATATACCTTTTAATTCTGCTTCATCTGAATAATTCTACTAATATTTTTTTTGTTACGATATCTGTGTGCTTTAGTTAGCAAAGCAATTCAAGACATTACTTTTTCTTGTGGAATCCCTTTGTAATTTCCGTCTACATTTGTTACTCTCTTCAACATTATCGAGGTCACAGATTTTGATCAGACACTGAGCACTTCTGTTTTACTATGTTCACACTTTTTTTATATGTTATACATTTTTTTTTTTTCAACAAGTCGGCCGTCTCCCACCGAGGCAGGGTGACCCAAAAAAAGAAAGAAAATCCCCAAAAAGAAAATACTTTCATCATCATTCAACACTTTCACCACACTCGCACATTATCACTGTTTTTGCAGAGGTGCTCAGAATAGAACAGTATTTGTATTTATTTCCCAGGGAATTTTAATAGTTTCCATGTTTAGTTTGCCTAGGTCAATTCCCAGATTCTTGAAAATAAATTTATCATATAATTCTCGATGGGTATTACTTTTCCAAACGGCATAAGAATTTATGTTTGCAATTTAGTGGAATTGTAGTCAAGAGTACATTCTGTTTGAGGCTCATTAGTTTCTCACTGTTGATGAACAAAACTGCTTAGTCGGACTTGAAACTTATTCCTATAAGATGCAAAGAGTATGGAAGATTGCAAGTGCGAAGGGGAGGGGAAGAGAAGGAGACATAGAAATCTAGTATTTCATGGTGAAGTGTGGTGGGGTTGGGGGGCTTTGGATAGTATCTGCCTTCAGGCTGTAATTTTGTGGTTTTGGGACTTTTTGTACGGTTTGTTGTCAGTGTCTCTAGGTCAGAGGAAAGCATCTGTTAGAAAAGGAAGACATTTCTCACTTTGTCTGACCTTCACTTTGGCATTGTGTCGTCTTTTCATGGCCTTTTTTTTCTTTTCAGTAAAAATGAATTTCTTTTGATAAGTCATTACATTTCTTGAAGTAGTTAATAAATTTCTGGTTATTGTATAATAACTTCAGCTATCATTAATGGAATTTCTCACAGCTATGTAATCATTTTATCTCCAATCCCTTAACTACTACTTCCATCTTCAATTTGGATAGCACCTTTGTTCCTTGTGACTATCAAGTTCATTTCTCTGCTAGTGAGCTTCATGGCTTGGTTCCTGTACCCCTAATACATAAACTGTTTACGCAGTGTCTTTTCCTTCATCATGACCTAGTTCTCCATAATCCACAACAAAATGCTTCCTGCTTTTCATCATTGTTCCTAACTGCTCCTCTAGTACCAAAAGCATCTCGAATGTTGTTCTTAGCTTCATGTGAATGCAAAGAACATTCTTGAAAAATTGCCCAGATATTAAACCAAAAATAAAATGGGAAAATCCCACTGGGTACACCCATTAACAAGGAATACAGCCCTATTTTAAAAATTAAATAAACATAACAGAAATAGGACCAACTATCAAACAAATTAATTTGCATTAAAATTTCACTGCATTCAAGCTTAGTTGCAAGTAAACAAAAGGTAATTGAATTAGGACATAGGTACAACTCACCAAAACTCCCGTACTGCTGGCCGCCAGGGGAACCATAATTTGGTGCCCCCCACTGTTGCAGCTGTTGTCCTGCACCCCAACCTTGGTATCCCCCCGGACCTTGAGGGGCACCATACCCCTGAGGTGGATATCCTTGTTGTTGTGGAGGAGTGCCCCATCCCTGATAAGGACCTTGTACCATGCCCTGGGTGCCCATGTGTCCCCCCATCTGGCTATTGTGTGGGCCAAGGGGAGGGCCAAGTGGTGGTCCCATGTTACCAGGTCCCATACCCTGCAAAAAAATAAAGCATTATTATCCTAGAATCAGATTGGAGGAAGAGAGAAAGGAGGAGGTGAATGTATTCAAATATTTAGGAGTGGACGTGTCAGCAGATGTGTCTATGAAAGATGAGGTGAATCACAAACTCATGAGTGGAAAAAGGTGAATGGTGCACTTGGGAGTCTGTGAAGACAAAGAACTTTGTTCATGGAAGCAAAGAGGGGAATGTATGAGAGTATAGTTATACCAATGCTATTAAATGGGTGTGAAACATGGGTGGTGAATGTTGCAACAAGGAGAAGGCTGGAGGCAGTGAAGATGTCATGTCTGAGAGCAATGTGTGGTGTGAATATAAAGCAGAAAATTTATAGTTTGGAAATTAGGAGAAGGTGCAGGATTACCAAAACTATTATCCAGAGGGATGAGGAGGGGTTGTTGAGGTGGTTCGGACATGTAGAGAGAATGCAACAAAATAGAATGACTTCAGGAGTGTATAAATCTGTAGTAGAGGGAAGGCAGGGTAGGGGTTGGCCTAGGAAAGGTTGGAGGGAGAAAGTAAAGGAGGTTTTGTGTGTGAGGGGCCTGGACTTCCAGAAAGCATGCATGTGTTAGATAGGAGCAAATGGAGACAAATGGTTTTTAGGACTTGATGTGCTGTTGGAGTGTGAGTAAGGTAACATTTATGAAGGGATTCAGGGAAACCAGCAGGTCGGACTTGAATCCTGGAGATGGGAAGTACAGAGCATGCACTCTGAAGGAGGGGTGTTAATGCTGCAGTTTTAAAACTGTAGTGTAAGTGCACCTCTGGCACAACAATGATGGAGTGAATGATGATGAAAGTTTTTCTTTTTCGGGTTACCCTGCTTTGATGGGAGACGGCCAATGTTAATAAAAATAAAAAATATCCAAAAATATTAAATTTCTGCAAACTGTTTCCCACTATATGGAAAGGGAAAGCAATTATAGTACACCAAACACATACAGCAGAAGGAAACTAGCACACATCATTAATGCACTGAGAAAATACTAAAATAAATATTTTCAGTGCTCCATGAATGATGATAATTTTCTTGAGATGCATGGCACCTGCTAAACTTTTCTCCCATTCAGCTCCTTCACTAAACTTTCCTCATAATGTTTATTATAACTAATACATTCAACATTACCCGCTCACAATAGCACTCTCCTTAGTCTTGTCTGCAAGACCTCTGTGCTTTACATCATAACCTAACTATATACTAATTCCTTATTTTATCTAAACACAATACAGTGGACCCTCGCCTAACGATGGCATCACATAACGTTAAATCAGCCTAACGATACATTTTAACGTAAAAATTTTGCCTCGCCTAGCGCTAAAAAACTCGCTCAACGCGATTCATCCGAGACGCGCCCATGTGCGGCCTGAGCCAGCCTCACTTGTCCCGCCGGTGGCAATGTTTACAAGCCAGGCTCCGCGGTAACATCCAAGCATACAATCAGAACATTTCGTATTATTACAGCATTTTTAGTGATTTCACCTGCAAAATAAGTGACCATGGGCCCCAAGAAAGCTTATAGTGCCAACCCTACAGGAAGAAGGGTGAGAATTACTATGGATATGAAGAAAAAGAAATTGCTAAGTATGAAAGTGGAGTACGTGTCTCCGAGCTGGCCAGGTTGTATAGTAAACCCCAATCAACCATCGCTACTATTGTGTCCAAGAAAACGGCAATCAAGGAAGCTGTTCTTGCCAAAGGTGCAACTGTGTTTTCGAAACAGAGATCGCAAGTGATAGAAGATGTTGAGAGACTGTTATTGGTGTGGATAAACGAAAAACAGATAGCAGGAGATAGCACCTCTCAAGCGATCATAAGTGAAAAGGCTAGGAAGTTGCATCAGGATTTAATTAGAAAAATGCCTGCAACTAGTGATGATGTAAGTGAATTTAAGGCCAGCAAAGGTTGGTTTGAGAGATTTAAGAAGCGTAGTGGCATACATAGTGTGATAAGGCATGGTGAGGCTGCCAGTTCGGACCACGAAGCAGCTGAAAAATATGTGCAGGAATTCAAGGAGTACATAGACAGTGAAGGACTGAAACCTGAACAAGCGTTTAATTGTGACAAAACAGGCCTGTTTTGGAAGAAAATGCCAAGCAGGACCTACATTACTCAGGAGGAAAAGGCACTCCCAGGACATAAGCCTATGAAAGACAGGCTTACTCTGTTAATGTGTGCCAATGCTAGTGATGATTGCAAAGTGAAGCCTTTATTAGTGTATCACTCTGAAGCTCCTAGAGTGTTCAGGAAAAACAATGTCCTCAAGGGTAATTTATGTGTGATGTGGAGGGCAAACAGTAAGGCATGGGTCACTAGGGACTTTTTCTATGACTGGTTACACCATGCATTTGCTCCCACTGTGAAAAATTACCTCCTGGAAAATAAACTGGACCTTAAGTGCCCCCTGGTATTACACAATGCTCCTGGTCATCCTTCAGACGTGGCAGAGCAACTTTCTGGGGACATGAGCTTCATTAAGGCCAAGTTTTTGCCTCCTAATACCACTTCTCTTCTGCAGCCCATGGACCAGAAGGTCATTGCAAACTTCAAAAAACTGTACACAAAAGCTATGTTTGAAAGGTGCTTTGTAGTGACCTCAGAAACTCAATTGACTCTAAGAGAGTTTTGGAGAGATCACTTTAGCATCCTCAATTGTGTAAACATTATAGGTAAGGCTTGGGAGGAAGTGACTAAGAGGACCTTGAACTCTGCTTGGAAGAAACTGTGGCCAGAATGTGTAGACCAAAGGGATTTTGAAGGATTTGAGGCTAACCCTGAAAGGCGTATGCCAGTTGAGGAATCAATTGTGGCATTGGGGAAGTCCTTGGGGTTAGAGGTTAGTGGGGAGGATGTGGAAGAGTTGGTGGAGGAGGACAATGAAGAACTAACCACTGATGAGCTGCTAGATCATCTTCAACAGCAAGAGGGCAGACTTGAGGAAACTGCTTCGGAGGAGGGGAGAGAGAAATTGAAGAAGTTGCCTACTTCAAAGATTAAGGAAATCTGTGCAATGTGGCTTAAAGTACAAACCTTTATGGATGAAAATCACCCTCAGACAGCTGTTGCAAGCCGTGTTGGCAACCTGTACACTGACAGTGTTGTGAAACACTTTAGGAAAGTCATAAAGGAACGAGAGGTACAGACCTCTATGGACAGATATGTTGTGCGACAAAAGTCCAGTGATTCTGAAGCTGGTCCTAGTGGCATTAAAAGAAGAAGGGAAGTAACCCCGGATAAGGACTTGACACCTCAAGTCCTAATGGAAGGGGATTCCCCTTCTAAACAGTAAGACCATCAACACTCTCCCCTCCTCCCATCTCATCAATCATCACCAGATCTTCAATAAAGGTAAGTGTCATATAACTGTGCATGTCTTCTTCAGTTTGTGTGTATTAAAATTAATATTTCATGTGGTTTAAAAACATTTTTTTCATACTTTTGGGTGTCAGGAACGGATTAATTTGATTTCCATTATTTCTTATGGGGAAAATTAATTCGCATAACGATAATTTCGCCTAACATTGAGCTCTCAGGAACAGATTAATAGCGTTATGCGAGGTTCCACTGTATAGCACTTTGTCTGGATTTTTTGGGTTATCTTAGGTAATTTATACTATGTATACTTGTATTTATGTGTACCTGTGAGACAGAGATAGACAGACAGAAAGAGATAGACAGAGACAGATAGACAGAGACAAAGATAGACAGAGACACACAGATACAGACAAACGGAGATACAGCCAGGCAGCCAGCCAGGCACGCAGCTGGCCAACCAGCTGGCTGGCCAGCCAGTCAGCCAGCCAGCTTGCTGAACAAGTATTACATTCCAGAATTGTTTCTCTTTACTTAGGGCATAGGTTATAAGACATTCTGAAAGGGTGTTCCACAAATGTTGCACATGGGTTATTGTCGAGGTTTTTTCATTTTTTCATATGTCCTCAACCACATGTGGCCACATCCACCCCAAAGCCACTAAACTCGGGGTCAAAATCACTTTCCTCTTAAAATGGGAGAGATAATACAGTGGACCCCCGGTTAACGAACTTTTTTCATTCCAGTAGTATGTTCAGGTGACAGTACTGACCGAATTTTTTCCCATAAGGAATATTGTGAAGTAGATTAGTCCATTTCAGACCCCAAACATACACGTACAAACGCACTTACATAAATACACTTACATAATTGGTCGCATTTGGAGGTGATCGTTAAGGGGGGTCCACTGTACTACATGAAGGGAGCAAGGGGCTAGTAACCTCTTCTCCTGTATATATTACTAAATGTAAAAGGAGAAACTTTCGTTTTTCCTTTTGGGCCACCCCGCCTCGGTGGGATACGGCCGATGTGTTGAAAGAAAGAATACTACATGAAATCAGTGAATCCCAGGTGTTTGCTGTGCTGTTTGCTGTAGCTGGCGCTCATTTGAACCGGTGCTCCCACAAGGTACTAAGTGTCCAGATTTTTTTTTATACGTCCACACTGAGTGTTAGACCCATTTATACTGACAAGCATCTCAGGCAATCATGCCAATATCGAAGGCAGGAAAAATTAAAAGTATATATATAGTTTGGCCATAGCGTTAAAAACATGTGTTATGTATGTATGTATATATATTTATATATAATATATAATATATTATATATATATATATAATATATAATATATATATACATACATACTAAATAACATTATATATATTATTATATATATATTATATATATATAATATATAATCATTATATAATATATATATATTACTATATAATATTATATAATAATACATTATATATACATATATATATCATATACATATATATACATATTAATATATACTTATACATATAATATACATACTATATTACATATACATATATATATATAATATTAATACATATATAATATACATATACATATATTATACATATATAATATATCATATTATATATATAATATATATACATATATTAATACATATATA